CCCCCCCCCCCAAGTTCAGTGGTTGCTTTAAACAACAGAATATAAGCAAAAAATTTTTGAAGCAGATGACTAGTACCGTAAATTTAAATAATTGTTATTACTATTTTATGGGAAATTGTGCAGATATTTAAGTTTATCCACAGTATTTTGAGGTCTGATTGAAAAACAGCTCAAAGCTGCTTGCAGATTTCTATTGACATCAATAGGCCATGGAGCCTTAGCAGTTTTTTGCCTAACTGTAATAACTTCAAATTTCCCAGGTTCTCCATCAGTCCATTTATTTATACCAAATATTATTTTTTACATTAGCAGCATGATCGAAATATGAAATATTTACATTGATTTTTATTGCCCTAATTGATTTTTCAGCAAAATGATTTTAAAGAATTCATGTGCACTGTGCAGCTCAGCATCTCAAGGTGCAAAATAATGCAGTGCTATTTTTTACAGCAGTTGTACTAGAGTAAATGTACATGCCATTCTTTTGATGAAGCTACTAGCATGAAAGTGAAGCATGGAGTAAATTTTCTTTATTTTTGTAGCATAGGTACATACGGAGAATATTAATATAATTCTCTGAAAATTATAAACATTCTTGTAGAGTCATATTTTGGGGGGGAAAACAGAGGGGGTGGGGAAACACTTTTTTTTTAATGTGTTTTAGGTCTTTAAGTTTGGCCTAATGAATGAAACAGAAACACAGTTGCTATCACCTACACTGCACGCAAATGCTGCAGAGTTTTAAAGGCGGAGGAGCACATATAAATAGCATCCCATTTCTGGAACTGTGCAGTTTCTTATCTTTAGCTTGTTTTTTTTCTCTCTTTCTCTCTCTCAACCAAACTAAGATAAGTTTGGGAACAGTCTTGAGGGTGGAAGTGACTTTAAATGGCTCTCAGTGAAAGAGGGACAAGACAAGACCTGTCTTTCTTTTACTTAAAAAAACAAACAAGACAAAACAAAACAAAAAAAAAAACCCAACCTGGTGTTTGGAATAATTAGGCTTCTTTCTGTGTTTACCTGATGCTTGCTTTTGACCGTTAGGGGCATTTTGCTTGTGGTGCCACCTTCTGCATCTTACTGTGATGATCTTGGGAGGCTTCTTGTACACGTGTGCTCACTGATCAAAATGGCATTGGATGCCAGAGCACGTTGGCCCATATTATTCTCCTTGCTGATTCCTTAAGGACAGGAGCACAAATCTCACTGAATTCAAAGGGAAGTGTAAGCTCTGGTGAATTTGCTGCTATTTCAATTCCCTACCAGCATCCTTTACCCCAACTGCCAACCTCTTATAATTGGTTGCTACTGGATACTTCACCACTATTTGTATTCCCTTGGAATGGCAAATTAACCAAAGCTTGCTTTTACTTATTTGGACTTCAAAAAATCTGATTTTTTACATGTTTTGTACTGTTTATTGTTAAAGTCATAAAAGTTTAGAGGATGCGTCATTGATTTGTTTATCATCAGTTTAGAATTGAAAGCAAGGATTTGAAAAACCTACTTCCACAACCTCGTTTCACAAAAAGAAATTCAGCATGCACACCATAAAACATTGATTAGGTTAAATATTTAACAGGAGTACCAGCCGCTTTGTGCATATTTGAACTACTTTTGTGTTCCATTTTCCTTTCATAATAGTATAATTTAAGACTTTATTATTTAATGTTTTCTTTTTTTCAGTGTTATCCATGCTCCGTTACCAAGTCCTGTTGACAAGGTACAGTTTTTGCATTTTGTTTTCTTAGTTAAAAAGTATGAAAAAGGTAACAGAATGAGAGAAACCTAATTACTTTCTGAGATGCCACTCATTCAAAAATTTCACATGGTTTAATCTTTTGTTTACTATTTCTTAAACATAAATGTTGCTGAATCTCAAAATATCATAATTATAGGGGTGGGTGCCCTGAGGTTTTTATACCAGTCATGATCTAAACAAATGAATACTGATTAGAAAGGGCTGTGGTAAAAGTTAATATTTGCCGTCATTGTATATTTCATGAACTAATAGGCAGTGTTAGATTTTATACATGAAAAATATTCCATTACAACTTAGTATTGCCACACAAAACTAAAACCTTCCTCAGCTGTTTTTGTTTACAGTGCAGTAATATACTGTCACATCACCAAAGTTGGCATGTTGGGGTTTGTTGAGGGTAATGCTTAAGTTTAAAAAAAAAAAAAAAGAGGTTATTTTTGTAAGGTGTAGGCCTAAAGGAAAAATTAGAAAAAGATGGCTTTGCTGCTTTGTTAAATGCATGTTTTGCATTTGCTAGAAGCCATAGAACAGCTGGTCAAGTGTGGGCACATTGGCAAAGAAACATGAAGAATGACATACTTGGATTAGTGGAAAACAGCAGAGCTATATGAAGCTACAAAGGTGGTAGCAAGAAGCTTGAATTGATGTAATAACACAAATTCAGGGAGAGATTAAAGAAGGGGTTACATTGAACAAAATGAGGTACAAAGATGATTTGTGGCAGCATTTTGTACAGGTTGGAGTACAAGAGTAAAGGTGAAGATGAGGGAAGTCAGAGAGGAAAATGCTTCAGGAATTAAGGCAGGATATTTAAATTAAAACTTAAGACAGTGTTAGCCCTTACTCGTTTTTTATTTCATTTTAATTGTTATGGAACTTTTTGCTCAATGGATTTAAAGATAAGCTATATTTGGACTGGTTAAAATATATATTATTTGTTGACTTGAATTGTAGTCATTTGGAAGATATCTATGGAGTGTATGTATGTTCTTCAAGTCACTACCTGCTCTAAGCATAATTAGTGGGAAACTGGTCTCCCAGTTTCTTTCTGTTGCTCTTGTCTTTGGAAGCTGTCTTTTCTCTGTGTTAGGCAATGCAACCTTCCTTTTTTATGTATTCTTTAGTATTATTTCCAGAACAAAACAAAAAAACTCAGTTAAATGTCTCTACTAATTCTGACATTTATTTGAATCATCAGGCATTGCAGAATGTGCATCTTTTGGGTAGGAAGTATTTCTACCCTGATTTGGAGAGAGGCATTCTGCAAAACATTGTGCTGCCTGTAAGTTATCTTCTGAGATGGTTCAAAGAGTCAGCCGAGCCCCACACCAAAATTTCTTTATATAAAATCAAACTTTTTGTTCTTTGTTGTACACAAAAAATATGTAGCAATGAGAACCTTACTCAAAATTTTCCACTAAAATATTTTTAACCTTTCATTTGAATTAGTCCACTGGTCTGCCTGTTATTTCATTTCATGTTTTTCCTTTCCCTTTAACCTGACTGCACCCAGCATAATAGTTAGGCTATATAAAATGTATGTTGAAAGACTTCTTACCTATTAAATAGACTGAATAAACATTACACTGAAGTTGATATATAAAAAAAGGTTTTCTGCAAATCTGTGCATTTTCTTCATCCTTAATGAGGATTTTTAACTTCCCAGACACAGATTGGAGAACAAATGCTACTAACGGTGGTAGGTCTTAGATATTTTGGATTGTGGTTAGTCTACAGCAGCGCTAGGCGATCTTTTCTGCCGGTGGGTGGAATGATCCATCTCCAGTCAGAGGCAGGCAGGTGAGTAGATGCTACAACTTGCCTGCAGCTGATGCTTCTATTTATAGTGGCACAGGGAAAGTGCCTGCAGCTGGCACTCCTCCCCAGGGCAGCAGGGAAAGAGGGTCTGATGCTGAAGCCCCCTGCTGCCTAAGTCCCACATCCATGGGCTGGATCCAGTGCCTCCACATGTTGTAAGTTTCCAATCCCTGTTCTACAAAGATCTACAGTTGTGATCCCATCAGTTATAAATAAAAGGAAGACTCATAGGTGGGTTGATTAGAATAGGACTATGATCCACCAGTGTCGTTGGTGGATCAGGCAAGCTCATTCTAGTAGAGCAAGAAAAGTAGTATTCATGCCACTGTGGGAAGTACTACTGAAATCTCACCTGGAATACTATGTACAATGCTGGTCATCATGTTTAAGAAAATTAAATGAAACTGGAAACGGGTGCAGAGAAAGAGCTACTAGGATGGAGAAGGACTACTAAGAAGGGGATTAGAGAGTATATCTTGGGAAAGAAGACTAAAGTAACTTGGCTTATTTGATTTTGCAAAGGGAGAGTTGGCAGGCTATGTGATTACACTGTGTAAATACATTAAGAGGTAAACATCAGGGAGGGAGATAAGCTATTTTATGCAATAGGATAGTGTTGACACAAGAGCAAACTGACCATGAGAAATTGAAAATGGAATTAGGAGAAGGTTTCTAACCATCAAAGGAATGATAGTTCCTGGAACCATTCTGGAATGGCCTTCTAAAAGAATCGTAGCAACAAAAGAACTTAACCAGTTTTAAAATGAATGTCGCAAAGCCAACTATGGGGTACCCTCAAAGCCCTAAATTTCTCCCTGCCATCCCATTGCTTGTCCCAAGGAACAGACCAAGGTTTACCTTGGGATAACTCCTTATTCCCCTAAGCTTCAGCTCCGCTGTCCTTATACCAGACCCCACAGCTGTAGCAGGGGATCTTTGCTAGCTCCAGGTAATTTCCTCATGGGCTGTGAAAGAATTTTAGATCTCCCTTTCCATTGAATGGGCTACCCTGGAATATCACTTGCTCTGAGATCTCATCTTACCCCATGCAATCAATAAGAAATCAAAACAACAAAAGGATTTATTTAAGAGAAAAGAATTATGGATAAAAAACTGACCATATAGTTTGAAGATAAAACAAAGGCAAATTTAAGTTTCTCACTATCTCAACTAGCTACCACCTAACCTGCAGCTTGGTAATTATTTGGGCTGCTTGCAAAACCAGTGCCTGTCGCAAGGACGTGTCGGGGGAGTGGATCGCAGCTCTGTCCTGGGCCCTGGCCTCAGCCCCAGCCCTGGCCAACCATCCCACTCCCAGACACTGCGCCCTGCCCGTCTGCGACCCCATTACATGTGCCTGGCTGAGCATGCCCTTCCCACAGGCATCTGCCACCTGCATGCTCTGTCTGGTGCTTGCAGTGTTGGGTGTGGGGCAGGTGGGCTAGGGGCCGAGACAGCAGCCCGGGTCCAGTGATAGTGGCAGAGATGCTGGCAGTCAGTGCTGTAGCAAGGGTGGATGAGTGGGGTGACTGCCCTGGGCACTGAAGCGAGGGGGTGCCAACAGGCGCTACCCAGCCCAGGCAGGATGTGGGACAGAGCCATGAGTGGCTCGCTTTGGGGAGGGGACAGGTGAGAGGGCGGCTGCTGCTGTATGCGCTCCCATGCAAGCATGGGGGGCATGTCCCCCCCCAGATATATGCATGGGGCGAAGGCAGCTGCCACTGGAGGATTTGCCCAAAGTACCAAAATTTCGTACCATGGTACTGCTGACAGAAGCAGCCAGAAGTATGAGGGCGGAGCAAACCAGTGCTGTGGGAGCTGCTGAGAAGCTGAGTCTGGCTGCCATGCCACCTGGCTCCACAGACTACAGTTCTCAGTGTGCCTGAAAGCTGTGTGCAGAGACAGGGTGGGCTGTGCTCCATACCAGGCAGCACCTCTGCGCTTAGGGGCAGTGGGACTAGCCTCATGTGCCACAGCCCAGGCTGCCACCCTCGCTGGGGCTGGGTGGGGCCATTAGCATGACAGGTTTATGAAAGAGATTGATTATAAGCAGGAATCCTGATTTTCCTTGATTAAAAATCGCAAATTGGAAATTCTCTGATTTAAAACCCCAAAATCTGTGATTAAAATGAAAGGTCACTATATATGCCAGTTGAACATAAAGTTTACTTGATCTGTTGACAATTTAAAGCAAATTGGAAGCCTATTAGTGCCTCAATCACTATAATAAAATAAATTCTAAATACCTATAAATTTTGGTATTTGATTTTGGGGTTTTTTATCATGGAAAATCAGAGCTTTCCCTGTCCTCTTTGCTGACAATGCAGGTCCAGGCCTCTCATTCCCCCACCCCACATGCCCTGATCCCTTTGCAGCCCAGATGGTGCAACCTGACACAGCAGGGCAGAGCGGGGTTGCACAGGGAAGCTCCTTGCTTCTTTGAACTCCGTGCTGCCCTGGAGAGGTGTTCCCTGCTTGCATGGCAGCAGCAGAGGCAGTGGCATGGGGTTGTGGGCCCCAGGAGTGAGCACAGTGGCAGGGAGCTGGTCCCACCCCCTGCCCCCCGGACGAGGTGCCCACGGCCCCATCCCACTCCTCACCTGCTCATTCTGGCCCCAGGCCCCAAATCTCATGCACCACCCAGCTGGGCAGCACCCCCAGCCCTGCCCAACTCCCTCCCTCCCTATGGGGGCCTCAATCTGCACCCCTCTGTCCTGCCAGACTTGTGTGCAGGAGCTGATCTCTAGGCTACCTGGTGGCCCTATACGCTTAGCGCTGTGGCACTTGCATGTGTAAAACTGCTCAAAGAAACTTGAGTTTCAGTTCCAGTAGTGCCATGGTCTGCTGTGCAACCATGGTCACGTGGTTTTTCCTGTATGCATCTTGTTCCTTTTCCCGGATGTATTTCAGTTGAGCATGTAAGCTCTCCTGGGTCACTGGTTATTTTTAATATCCAATATGTATAGCACAATGGGGCCTCATTCCTGATCTGAGGTTTGTAAGTGATACTAAAATACATAAAAATAGTAATAATAAAATAGTAAAGGACTAATAGAAAAGAAATTATAGATGATAAACTTTCTCATAAAAATATTTTATTTTCTAGACATTTAAATGATTTTTTTTAATTATCTGAGTTTGTAGAGTGTCCAACACAGTTTTGATCCTTTCATTTCACAGGTTGCTGCTAACACTCCCAGTATGTACTCTCAGGAACTGTTTCAGCTTTCACAATATCTACAGGTAATTTTTTTAATATTAAGATTCTGGGTCATTAATTTGACAGTTCTGTGCAGCAAAGTACTTGAATTTTGTTCAGTATCTAAATGTTCTATATTTGTTATGCTTGTGCATTTCCATTCAGAATGCAGTTTTATAAATAGTGACAGGTAAGAACTAATTGCTTGTTCCCTCAAACAACATAAAAAGTGTATGGGAGTTACACTTGTATGTTGTTACCTGTGTGAAAATATATATTACAGATAATATAGCAGCATCTGGCTTGCATGTGGTCAGATTCATGGAGGGTCAGATCCACTGATAGCTATCAAATGAAACAGTTCTCTGAAATCCCTAAACCAAAAATGGCCGATGCCAGAGAGGGTTAGACAGGGGATGGACCAGTGATTCTCAGCCAAGGTACCGCAGCAGCCTAAGGTCCCTTGAGATCCTGTCGGGGGTGCTGTGAAGTACCATACAATATTAGCACTGTTACATGTGCAAACATGATTCCCAAAATAAAACCCAGAGAGAGCAGCTTGGAATATATAGTGCTAAAGGGTTCTGATCTGTTTTGGTCTTTTACATTCTCTGCAAAAGGAGTGGCTTTATTATTTTTTGTAGTAAACAATTCAGGTGAAAACTGAGAGCTGGCATTTTCCAAGGGGTGCTTGAGTCTGTTGAGGAGTGCTTTGAGTCTAAAAACATTGAGAACCATTGTACTAGACAAACTCTGTACATATGTTTTCCATCTAAAGCAGTAGTTTTTCAACCTTTTATTCATATGTGGACCCATAAAATTTATAATGGCGGTGTGGACCCATTTGGAAATTTTAAATGGTGATGTGGACCCCTATGTAAATTTATATAATTTTGATTGATCATAGCCATCTTTTGTGGACCACTTAGCTAAAGATCTGCAACTTGCTACTCTGGAAAACAGGACCCAGTATGGCATTTATGTTGTTAGCATGCAGTTTGTAGTGCTGATAATTGATATTGAAACTTCCTGCTTTAGATGGGAATGTCTGAAGACTACTGCTTCTTCAAAACCCCTCCTTGTGTTTTTCCACTTATGTGACTGCCTGAATTACAGACTGGGTGTCAATATAATTTCTGTCTTCTGCAATCTCACTCAAAATAGAGAAGTCAGGCCAAAAAAAGAGTTCTCAGTGTATTAGGAAAAAAAAAACAAGGGACAAATAAATTTATGTTCATGTACTGTGTTGTCTTTTATTTCTATCTCTTCCCAAAGCGAACATCAGATTAATGCACTTGACTCTTCTGGGGGCATGGTTAATGGTTATAAATATACTTTTTATGGATATCTAGGAATTATTTAGCTCTTCAGCTGTGCTGTTATGTCTCTTTCACTCATGTACTGAAATTGGATCTCCTAATAATTGTGTTTCTCTTGAAGATTTAGCTTTTGGAATACCAGCAAGAAGATTCTCTCACTTGTATTGCTATTAATAATTTTGCTGCTATCTACTCCAGGCTCCTTGCCCATTTTAGGATATACTACTGCAATAGTTTCCATGTACCAATTAAATGCAGCTTGTAGTAATGTTTACCGACTAATTGTAGCTTCACTCTGTCTAGTACTCTTACTGGTAACCATGACATTTTTAAATAGCAAATAATTCAGCCTCAACATATACGCCTTTTAACATTCTTACTTTTTTGGTGGGAAGAAAAAGGAATAATAGGGAGGAGTACAAGAGCACTGCTCTTGGGCTTGCAGGGATGAAGTCAGGAAGGCCAAAGCACAATTGGAGGAGTCCAGGAATGCTGGCTGGTCTTCAAAGAAATCTTACTGAGAACGCAGGAACAAATCATTCTGATGTACAGGAACACTAGCTGGTATGGCAGAAGACCAGCTTGGCTTAGCAGGGAACTCTACAGTAAACTAAATCACAAAAAGGAAGCTTATAAGAAGCAGAAGCTTGGACAAATAACTAGGAAAGAATTTAAGAACATTGCTCAGGCATACAGGGATGAAGTCTGGAAGGCCAAAGTGCAATTAGAGTTGCAGCTAGCAAGGGACATGAGGGTAACAAGAAGGGCTTCTACAAGTATTTCGGTAACAAGAGAAGATCAGGGAAAGTATGGCTCCCTTACTGAATGGGGGAGGCAACCTTGTGAGAGAGGATGCAGAAAAGGCTGAAATGCTCAGTGCCTTCTTCCCCTAAGTCTTCACAGGCAAGGTCAGCTCCCAAACTACTGCACCAGGCAGCATAGTTCGGGGAGGAGATGTGCATCCAACAGTGGCGAAAGAACAGGTTAGGGACTATTTGGAAAAGCTGGATATATACAAGTCCATGGGGCTGGATGGGATGTGCCTGAGGGTGCTGGGAGAGTTGGCTAGTGAGATTGCAGAGCCACTGGTCGTCATCTTTGAAAACTCATGGTGTTCAGGAGAGGTCCTGGATGATTGGAAAAGGGCAAATGTAGTGTCCATATTCAAGAAAGGGAAGAAGGAGGATCCAGGGAACTACAGACACATCAGCCTCACATCAGGCCCAGAAAAATCATGGATCAGGTCCTTAAGGAATCCATTTCTAAGCACTTAGAGAAGAAGAAGGTGATTAGGAACAGTCTGCATGGATTCACCAAGGGTAAGTCATGCCTGACCAACCTGATTGCCTTCTATGATGAAGTGACTGGCTCCATGGCTGTGGTGAGACCAGTAGATGTGGTGTACCTTGATTTTTAGCAAGGTTTTTGATACGGTCTCCCACAACATTCTCTCAGGCAACCTAAGGAAGTGCAGGCTTGATGAATGGACTGAAGGTGGATAGAAAACTGACTGGAGCATCAGGCTCAGAGGGTAGTAATCAGTGGTTCCATGTCTAGTTGGCAGCCAGTATCGAGTGGAGTGCCCCAGCGGTCAATCATGGGACTGGTTTTGTTCAAAATCTTCATCGATGACCTGGAAGATGGGATGGAGTGCACCCTCAATGAGCTTGCAGATGACACCAAGCTGGGGGGTAGTAGATACTCTGGAGGGTAGGGCTAGGATTCAGAGTGACCTAGGCCAAAAGGATTGGTCCAAAAGAAATCTCATGAGGTTTAACAAGGACCAAGTGCAAAGTCTTGCACGTAGTACTGAACAATCCCATGCACCAGTACAGGCTGGGGGTTGACTGATTGGGCAGTAGCTCTGCAGAAAAGGACCTGGGGGTCACAGTGGACAGTAAGCTGAATATGAACCAACAGTGTGCCCACGTTGCAAAGAAGGCTAATGGTAAACTGGGCTGCATTGGTAAGAGTGTTGCCAGCAGGTCAGTGGAAGTGATTATTCTCCTCTATCCAGCACTGGCGAGGCCACATCTGGAGTACTGTGTTCAGGGGTGGATTAACCATAGGCAAATGAGACACATGTCTAGGGCTCTAAGTGTAGAAGGGGCCCAGTTGTGCTTATTTTACATACAGGTTTCCCTCGATTTTTACCCAGGTTCAATTTATGCGAATTTGCTCTTATGCAATGACCCTTTTGTACCTGAAATTTGCTATATGTGAGGTAAATTTGCATATATGTGATCGGTATATGCCTGGAGACCGCCACATTTGCATAAAGCAAACTTACTTTATAATGCAACAAATAGGGATAGGTTCCCCTGTTAGCTGCTTCCAGGGCTGGCTGGGGTGAGTGTGGACAAGCAGAGCCGCAGGTGGTGTGAGGCACAGCACTTACCCCAGCCGCAGCAGCTCCGGTAGCTGCTGGCACTAGCTGCTGGCAGCCACTGAGCTGTACTGTGCCCCGAGCCCCCCAGGGCTCTGCTTGTCCCCACTTGCCCCAGCTCCTGTTGCAGCTTTCCTGGGAACGACCAGTGCTGGCTCCCTGTAGCCACTAGGCTGCACCGTGCCCTGGTGCTGGCAGCTTCCAGAGCCGCTGCAGCCAGGGCTGGGTTGGAGGTGGGCAGAGCACCGGGAAGAGCCTGGAGCCCCTGAGCGTGCAGCGGCCACTGGCCCCAGCCTGCTCTTGTCTGGCTACAGGCAACTGCCCACTCCTGCTGCAGCCCAGGGAGCGACAGACACCGCCTACTTGCAGCTGCTGAGCTTTGCCATGCTGCGGGGTTCTGGACACAGTGCCTCCGGGGAAGCAGAGCCCTGCAGGGGGTTGGGGCATGGCGCAGCCCAGCAGCAGCTCCTGGAGCTGCTGCAGGTGAGTGCTGTGCCCCGCACCACCCAGGGCTCCGCTTGTCCATGCTCACCCCAGGCGGTCCTGGGAGCAGCCAACAGGGGAACCTATCCCTATTTGTCGCATTATAAAGTAGGTTTGCTTGACGCAAATTTGATTTATGCGGTGTTCTCCAGGAGTGCATGTTCTGCATAAATCAAGGGAAACCTGTATTATAATTATTAAGTGAAAAAGATGTATACAGTATTAAGTAGGGCCCCCTGAGTTTGTTTGCGCAGGGTCCACTAGGGGGTTAATCTGGGCCTGAGTGTGTTCAGTTTTGGACCCATTACAGAAAGGATGTGGACAAATTGGAGGGAGTTCAGCAGAGGGCAACAGAAATGGTGAGGGAGCTGGGGGGGAATAGTTTCATGGTTGGTAGGGTCGGAAGGGACCTGAGCAGATCATCAAGTCCGACCCCCTGCCCTGGGTAGGAACAAGTGCTGGGGTCAAATGACCCCAGCAAGGTGATTATCTATGACATGACTTCTGAGGAAAGACTGAGGGAACTGGGCTTATTTAGTCTAGAGAAGAGGAGACAGAGAGGATTTAATAGCAGCCTTCAACTACCTGAAGGAGGGGGTTCAAAAGAAGATGAAGCTGAACTGTTGTCAGTGGTGGTAGATGACAGAACAAGGAGCAATGGTCTCAAGTTGCAGCAAGGGAAGTTTAGGTTGGGTGTTAGGAAGAATTTTCTCACTCGGAGGGTAGTAAAACACTAGAACAGGTTACCCAGAGAGGTGGTAGAAGCTCCATGCTTGGAGGTTTTTTAAGGCCCAGCTTGATAAAGCTTTGGCTGCATGATCTAGTTGAAGATGGTCCTGCTTTGAGCAGGCAGTTG